TGAAATCGGACTTATCGTATCGGAATAAACGCTTCTGAAAAATCAAATCGAAAGTGGAAAAACTAATTTCACTCATGTTCCAGAACAATCGAAAAAGTCAGAATTTCAGAAATTTGAATGAATTAATTTTTTTTACATACTACTAACCTACCGGCCGGAATTGATATAAGCAAAAAAAGGAAAAAAAAAAATGAATTTTATTTTGTTCAATTTATTACTTACAAAAAAATAATATGTCGATATTATAAGCGTAATTTTTTTAAAGAAAGCAATCCAAAATCAGATCGAAAAGCAAATCTTATATATATTTCCTAATATCGAATTACATAATGAAAACGGTATTCCAAAATCAAAAGATGTTAGAGAAATTCCAATCAGATTTTCACCACTTGTTCCCATCCAATTGGTTCTATACATGCTTGATTCTTTTACCGTTACTCCGTCAGTTAATGAAGTAATAGGCACACGCTTGATCCTGTTAGTACTAACGAAAAATTGACGAAAATGACTAGAATTGTTGAATTTTTTGAAACATAAGGAATTAAATGTGTTTTTTGGTGAATTTGGGAGACCAAATGTGAAATCGATACTAATATAAGTGACCAAAACTGTATTTTGCCCATAAATAAAATTCATATAAATTTAATGGATTTGAAATTCTCACATCCAAATTCGTTAATTCAAATGGATAATCGTAACGAGGATTGTGGGCTGTACCTAAAAGAGCTTCTAAAGTAATTAAGATGAAATTCGTCATATTTATGAAATGGGAAATTTGTTAGGAAAAATTACAGGGGTGTTCATTTGATAAAACAGTATCGGAATTTTGGTAAACCGAAATTTTGGTATATCAAAAAATTTGTATTATTTACCGTACTGAACTATTCGATGCGGTGCGTTTTTTTTTATCAAATTATTTAAAAATATTCAGTTCAATACCGATAAAAGTGATATTACATTTTAATATTTTAGACAATGTAAAAAAAATATTTAAACAAATTAATTATTGAATCGGACATTCAAATTTCGATAATTGGCACTAATAACAAAAATTGATTACCAATAGAGGCTAATCCATAGACAATTGAAAAATGTATCATTCTAAAAGTAGCTTATAGTTTGTTACAACGTTAAAAAATTTAAAATAAAAGAAAAATAAATATTTATTAAATATTCCGGCATTCAGTACGATATATATATATATATATATATATATATATATATATATATATATATATATATACTGAACATCAATACGGTACACCACGCCGAATATGAACCAAAATATTTGTTTGGTATTTAACACGTATCGAATTTTCTTTTCAGTTAATTTACCGACCAAGTGAACACCCCTAGAAAATTATCTTACAGTTCACTTTTTTTCCGGAAGCTAAAACCTTTCACGTGGAGTGCCATTTCTTGTATTAATTAAATAAAGTGATACTAATACTTACTTACCACCTAAGGAAATCAAAACTAAAGTGATCAAATATATTAAATAAATTAAATGTAATTAGGAACATACTAAAGTGGGGTCACCACTATTATTGTCCTAATCAAATCCAAAGTAAAGAACAATGCTACTTTTAAGCTTTGTTTGGTTCAATAAAGAGATATAATCACATGTCCTCTTTGTTTTTATGTGAAATTTAGATGCATTACTTTTAGGTATATTATATTATAAGGGTTTAATTTGTTCTATATTACTAATATTCTCTAAAGTTTACTAGATGTGTAAATATCTACATACGTATGTTAACTAACACGAGTCAAAATTTTAAGTTTTGGGGACCGAAATATTAAAAATATTCCAGAGGAGGTCGTTAATGCTATTTATTATACATTATCTTTTTTTATTTTTATCTATATAAAATAATAGATATTTGAGAAATACCGAGAGGAGGGTGATGGTCCGGCCACTGTGTATATTTGTTAAGTAATTAGATAAAAATAATTTGATTTTAATATTGAATTTTATGTCTATGTTTAGTTTAATATATTAAGAAATAAACCTCGAACAAAATTTTGACAGTCGCTTTCAAATTAAGTACTAAGGAATTTAATTTCTTTTGAGTCCTAATCATGACACGATCTACCATTTAAAAACACAATCGATTTGATTTTTTTTTGGCCAATTTTTTCTTTTTTATAAACAATCGTATATCATAATTAATTAATTATGTAGTAAGTGTGAGTGTGTTCCCTATAGAACAAGTGTCACCTTTTCATTCAAGATTCCAACCTAAATAAGTCCCTTGTTTATTTTATTTATTTAAATATTTATTTAATTATGTATTTAAAAAAAAAAAAATTGGTTTATCAATTCCACAAGGTCAATGGTAAGGCTAGCACGATTAGCTTCTTTAGACGCGTTTACACCAAATTAATTTTTTTTTTTTCTTTCAATTTTTCGATTATTACTATGATTAATAATGTTCTCTCAAATTTAGATTATTTTATTTTGTGTAATAATTATTTGTAATGGAATATAATTTCTTTCACTCATACATTCTACGTTTCAAATTAATTGTTATTTTTTATGTTTGTTCTATACCACTATCGGAGCAAGAACTTTAAGTCCAGGAGGAAGCGAATAAATTAAAAAAATTCTAAGGAGGGCCATTAATACTACTGCACAAAAAGAATTACAATTCTATATTATTTGTTCATATTTTAAGTTATCATGATTTCTTTTTAAAACATTTTTTTAATTTGTGACATTATCAATTATATAAGAAATAACATTGAGGATAATACGAGGAGGTTAAGATATATCATTAAAATCATACTATGAAATAGCAACTCGATAAAAGTGGTGTTTGCAAAAACTTTTAGAAATAGCTTATGAGTTTCTTTTTTGTTTATAATCTGTTTTTAAATGTTTGTTAAATCAACTTTTATTTTTACTTCTATTTTAGTTGTTTTAAGTTTCTTTTCTTTTTACAACAGCCCTAAACTTTCTTTTTCTATTTTAGTTTATTTTTCAGAATATTTGCAAACAACTCTAACTTAAAAATAAACAATTAATAGATACTTAATTCACAATTATTAACTTTTGATTTTAAATAAGTTTTTGCAAACACTGCCATTATCTATGTAGACGACGTAACAAAAACAAATAGAAAAGAAAAAAGAAAGGCATTAAAATTGCTAGTGCAGATGAAATTAATCAATAGTAGATTGGATTAATTTAAATTAATGGTTTAAAGTGAAAACAATTTAAAATAACAATCCAAAAAGATAGTGGACATAATTGCACCTTTAGTTGGTCATAAATGTAGAAGGAATGTTTTGAGAGTTCGGAGGAGACAGTGGCCCAGATGTTTGTTAGGAATATTAGAAAAATTAATAAAAACAATAAATATATATATATATATATATATATATATATATATATATATATATATATATATATATATATATATGTGTGTGTGTGTGTGTGTGTGTGTGTGTG